GCCACATTTAAAAATATGCTGAGAGATTACACAGGCTTTTAATAATGTTTATTTTTAAATTTTTAGTTTTCGGTTATCACAGGGTATCCACGGATGCCACAAGTCTTTTGTTCTTTTTTGTGATATCTTGCACTTTAGTAAAATAAATAAAATCTTATCGAGCAAAAACACGCATATACAGATAATACGTTTTCTGATGTTGCGTTAGTGTGGCCACAAAAGTGCCAAAAAACGCACTTTTCTGCAGAAATCGTGAAAAAAATTTGACATGGGTACTCAATAGTTACTGGATAATACACAAAAGACACACTCAATAGTCTTAGAATTAGCACAAAAACGTAAAGAATTGTACGAAGTCGCAATAACCGAGCGAGAAGCAGAGCTTGATACATTTATTCAAAGATTAGATGGAACAAGTGCAGAGGCTGGGAAAAAATCCAAAAGAGAAAAAGTAAATAAATAAAGCTAGCAGTAAATAAACAGCTGATTTAAGATAGAATATTTTGGTTTCAGATATGCCAGGATTCCCATGAAATCCTACGTAAGATTCTATAAGACCTTGCGTAGAATCTGATTGGATCCTACGACAGGAAAGTATAGGATAAATCCAAGACAAAGAAGTCTTACGTCTTTCCTACAAGATCCGATGTGGATCTGGTAGGATCCTACGTAGGATCTTGTAAGATCTTGTAAAAATCTTGTAGGATCCTATGGTAGGATTGTTTGACCTGGATACACAAGGGCTGCCGTTTCTCTTTTTTGATTGGAGATCAGAGCTCGAACACTTTGAAACAAACAGAGTGTATGAGTGCGTTGCACTAGTTAAGAACACATCCGTACCTGTTGGAACAAAATCTAATTAAAAACACTCTTGCAATAATCGCTCAATCCACCCACTTTTATCTCATCAATCTCATGCATCAAGTAAAAGTTCTTCAGTTTCCCTATGAATATTCAAAAGTTATACGGTTTACTTCGAGACAAAGCAAAACTCTAATGGAAAAAGGCAAACGAATTGAATATGACTCTTAACTACAAACATGGTAGTTCTCTGAGAGAACAATATAATAAATGAAATGAAAAAAATATAACGAAATTATTTGCCGTAACAATTCGGTGCGTTTTACCTTGACTTTAGTCTAGGGTCTTACAAAATGGTTGTCTATGTGTCTGTGGGCAAAATCCAGAAAAATGGCTATCGGATATTCTATGAATAAGCGAATCACAAGAGAGAAAATATACAAAGAGATGATTGAAAAAATAATTAATGATGCAGAGAGAAAAAAACTAAGCATACGTTTCTGCAGTTGGGAGATTGATGTCGCCAGAAATCAGTCATTACTGAACTATGAAGTTTTGAAAACTAGCCCCGAGGCCAAAAGCGTGGTTTGAACATGAGACACCGGTTGCAGTAAAATTACAATGTCTTAGCTTTGTAAAGTGATCTTTGATTTATTTCGGAAATAAAGAAAAGCCGTGCATGGAGCAATTTTTTCAAAATGATCGGGATAACCTCTACTGTGGAAAGACGTTAACGAGGGCACATTTCTGTCAGTCAGAGTTATTAATACCATAAGTGAATGTAAAGCTTTTAAAACTCTGCATTCGGCTAAAAACGATCATTTTTGATGGAAAATGTATTGAGAATCGGAATCTACCAGTTAATACACATTATATTTATCTTTCAACCACAATCGATTTCTGCACATTATCTGAAATCTGGCTCACTTTAATACGAAATCAGAATACATTTCTGCGCTGTTTTACTATACAGTGTTTAAAAAGATTTTCTGATTAATATCTATCATATTATGACTCAACTTAGCTATTGAGATATCTCTTTTTAAGCAACTGGTTATTATGAGATTTCTTGCACGTGATGCGTCGCGTATATAATTTACTTGTTAGAATAATTCCTTCCTTCTCGTTTTCTTTTTATACCAGCCAAGAATAACGACAAAAAGAAGGAAAAATATTTTTTCAGTAGTACATCGGCTCACTGGTCGATGTTCTTGGGAGTAGTCTTGCAAGATTCTTGTCCCTTGCCATTTCAGAGAAGAATCCTCAATTTTGTCTTGATAGGTCAGACAAGATTCTTCTTTTAATTTTTTGTTGATTTTTTATCTTTTTTCGTTAAAGATTCTTGTCTGAAGTGTCAAGATTTGTTGACGACAAAATCATCAATTTGTTTTGTCGATCCCCGTGCTATATATAAGTTTTATAATATAGCTAAATACTATACATAGATGTCGTTAAAAAGTCTTTTAAATCTCATAAGATTCTTGTCGAGAGGCAATCGAGCCTTTATATATATGCCTGTGTTGGCGTCACAGCGTCTTAGCTCCTATATATACATGAAAAGAAAAGAAGACGAAAAATGGATTATATATGTATTCTTTTTGTTTGCATGATTCTTGTGATAAAAATACATGTGAAATATTTTGCAAGAGTCTAGTGTGAAATACCAAGAAACAAGAATCTTGCAAGAATACACACAAGAACATCGGCCAGTGCCTGAAAGACAGAAGAGAAAAAGTATAAAAAAAGACAGATAAAATCAACGCAATAAGAGTTTCAATGTGCTTCTACTTCTAAAGTAATCAGTCACGTGGCAATACGTCACACTAGCAAAACTTTGTATGCATAGAAAGAGAATTTGTTCACAAAGAGAAAAAAAGTACTGTTAATATATTGAAGCAAATTGTGTGCGCTATCTATGTTAAGAAATATGTCATCTAAACAACACATAGCACGTGGCTATTCATCTTCCGACTATCAAACAATTAATGCTCAACTTTTGTTGGCAAAATCATTACCGGAACCAGACCCAAAAGCAGACAAAGATGGATGTGGTAGCGTATTGATTATTGCTGGTTCACCAGAATTAATGGGTGCATGTATTTTATCCGGTATTGGAGCCTTGAGAGCTGGAGCTGGACGCCTACGTATTGCCACGGTAGAGACCATTGCACCTTTTATTGGCATGTCGTTGCTAGAAGCTCGAGTGTTTTCATTGCCGCAAACTGCTAATGGAGGTAAGTGAAATAGTTTCCCAAAAAATTGTCTTGAAAACCGCTGTAGAGATCAGGACACTAACTGCACGTAGAACGGACGACTAGCACTTAAAAAGTGTACTCTTTCCACTGGTGTGCTGAAGAATGATTCGAAACAACTCTAAAGGATATCAGTAATTATATTAGTTTTCTAAAAAGAACACTATACTGGTAATATGAAATGAAACTATTACCGCTAATCGGTTTCCCATCTCATGAAAGTTGCAAAAGAAACTGCTGACTAAATTTCATGGAGTTTTAGTAAAGCTATTTGTTGTAGTTTTCAACCGTCTCAACCGGCATCGGTAAAGGTCAAGAATGTTGTTCGATCAGAAATGTATCAGAAGAATATTCAGAATAGAATCAACGCTTATATTCTCAAAATCATCATATAAGAGTTTCAACACTTGCGGTGACCCTCTAATAATGTTGGAAAATCCTTTTTTTCTCACATCCTAAATGAATCTTATGAAGTAAATGTACTTTTTAATACTGATCAAAGACCCTTTTCAATTCTAAACCTGTTACCCGTAAACAAGGTTAGAAACTACATGTATTCCACGGGAGTTTGTGAGGCTATGACAATAAAGATTTTCAGAAATCCTGGGGGATACTGCAGGAGCCAAAATTCTCCCCTCAGTGGCTTGTCACTTGTTTTAAAATAACCGTAGTTTTTGCTACTTTTAAACAGTAAGAGTAATATGCCACTCCAACCAGATTTTCGGGAAACTATATGGTATAATAGGATTCAAGCATCGTTCTGACACATTTTTAACAGAAAAAAATTAAGAATATTGGAGATCTTAAACAGAATCAATAGCATGTGCCCTTTAAGACATTTAGAAAAACAGACATAGACAGCCGGTTGAAACTTTTCTCAATGATACATTTGGATTTAGCATATAAAGCGTATTGATACGATCAAACGCACTAGGAAACTCGTTTCTGAACTATGCACATTGCAGGATTAACAAAATTAGCAAATGTTTCCACCTATTCCTATTTGAAGATCTTAATCGATCAGACTAAGTTTTATATCACAGATACAGCAAACAAAACTGAGAGGATGCTTTTTCCCATGCTTAAGAATGCATAGTATTTCGCAAGAAGACTGAGATACACGAATCCATATGTTCTCAGTTGAAATGTCACGTCTCACTCCAGTCAGAAATTTTCTTGAAAAAAAGACTTTTCTGAAAAACAAGAACAGCTACCGTCTTAGTTTGATTTCTGCATCTATGGGGAGCATTACAGCGTGAAAAATGCTTCTGAGATGTGCAGGGAACGAAAGATTTTGCATTTTGAGTAACGTTCAACCAAATGCTTCTAACGTTTGAATGCAGTACCCCAGTGAGCAGTATTATTTTAGATAATAAGATCTAGAAATAATTAAGAGCCGCTGTCTGTACCAATGGAACACTCCTGAAATTTGCACGTTAGAATACACAGAATGACATGGCGGTTTTCGCATTTTTCTTAGAGTGAGGACAGGCAACATTATGATTCCATAAGATACTTGATATAAGCTGTATTCTGTAGGAATACAAACGGAAAAATATTCAATTACAGTAGTCGAAACTAAAACTATATAAAAATACAAAATCAGCTTTGTACGCATAGAGATTCGAACATATGAATTTTGCTTTGGATTAAATCAGATACTGTGTGTATAGTCCGACATTCACTTCATGAGAACAAAGGAAAACATTTTTGATACCTATTGTAAAAAGGTTAGGTCCTCGAAGTTAGTGGATATTGAAAAAATAACAAATTTGTTTAATTTAGTTCAAATGGGGACCATATTCAGACTTCACATAACATTTTATATTCGTAACCGGTTCGTTGCGACAAATCGAAGGGATGCTACATGAGCTGTTTTCGAGAAAACACTTTCGAATTTTACGCACTAGGCCTCCTCCGCTTCAATAGTGCACAAAACGATTTTTCAAGAACAGCTCATATAACACCTCACTCAATTCGTAATACGCGTTCCATTGGTACCGATAGTGGCTCTAAGTTAAAAAAGACTGTTTGTGCAGTGGAATATGCGAAATACCCTGGATATTGAAAAGGCTAAGGAATTTGATTGAAAATTCTGAATACTTAGCTATTTCTCACAAAACGTTTTTACGAGCCGGAGCGATGCCTATGTTGAAAAGGGCATATGACTTCATTCAGAAACATTTTAAAGCACATTTGGAAAATTCCCATTTTTGAGTTGGCAAAGAACTGGATGCCCTTAAGCCATATATTTCAAATAGATACGTTTTACAACCGCCTATTTGTTACAGAAAAGCCCAAGCCTTGGAAACTTGGACTGGTTCTTACTACGCGGTTCGAACACGGTACTTTTGAAGTACGTGCCGAACAACATAATCACTCAGCCATAGCAGCTGCTATAAATGAGGGTTTTAACAAAAGAGTCTATCCTTCGGTCCACTTTTTAAGTTAAACAAAGAGAAAAAATTGGTTTTTAAGACTATTAGTATCGCTAGAGGAGTTTCTGAATAGACGAATGCTTGTTTCTAATCGTTTTTATCAGCTCAAAATAAGTCTGAAAGAAAAATAACGTCTGTCGAAAATACTACGGTGATGATTAGAACAATAAGTTAGTACATTTTCTCCAGTATATAATTAAGGAGAATGATTGAACTGTGACGGATGTTACCAATAATAAAAACTTAATCATTTTTGCGCAATCGAATAGAGATCCTTGTATATTACACAGAGCTAACATCTATTGGATATGTTTGTTTTGCTAAGTCTACGATATTTCAGGTATTTCACCAGACGAGAAAACGTGTGAACTATTGTGCGAGCTAGCGAGTAAAATGGACTGTGTCCTATTCGGTACTGGTTTATCGGATGAATTTGCAGTTAAACAAATTCTCAGTAAACTGTTGGAAAATTTGAAACAAGGAACACTTGTGCTCGACGCAGCTGCATTAAACGTTTTGTCCAAACTAAAATCTACGCAACATTCGCCCGATCTTTCCGTTATTCTCACACCACATCATAACGAAATGGCATCATTACTAGAATGTGAACCGGATGTGATTGCCAATGACCCAATTAAAGCGGTGAAACAAGCTGTTCAGCGCTACCAGGCAACCGTTGCGCTCAAAGGACATGAGACATTTATTACGGGTCCTGATGGAATTATTTATCGAAATACAGCAGGTAATGTTGGCTTGGCAACATCGGGTTCCGGTGATACATTAGCTGGTGTTATCGCTGGCTTAGCGTCGACTGGTGCAAAAGCCGATATAGCAACAATATGGGGTGTCCACGTGCATGCGACGGCAGGAGATAGATTAGCCGACCAATTCCATCAGACAGGATTCCTTGCTAGAGAATTGTTAGATGAAATTCCACATGCAATACAACATTTCAAAAATAAAAATAAGAAGGAAACATACCTACATAAATCCAACAACGACGACAAATAAAGCAACGTGGTATCTTCTTTTCGTTTCCATATCCTTATCTTTGTAAATCCATCGTTTTCCATATGTAAAGTAGCTGATTCTTTTAATAAGGTAATATAATAGAAAAGTAATGCAGAACTTTATTGATATATTGTAGAAGATGAAAACTAAAACTACTTCGCTTTTATCGATTTAACTTTTTTAACTCTTTTGTTAACTAGGATATTTTTCTAATACCTCACGAACAGACATTTCCTGGAGACATCTTCAAAACAAACGTGATTTTGTGTTTGTTTCAGTGGCTTTCACACAGACAACACTGTGCTTACTTTGTTTTAAATTTAAAAACTTAAAAGTTGTACAGATTTAATAAAAAAAATGAAAAAACTTACTTTAAATATATAAGAATAATTGTACTGTCCTTGACTCGACATTTTTGTGTACAAAAGCATTGAAGAAAGACCGGGCAGAACGGCTGGTACCCCACCCGAACTTCTTGTAAGCCTATCTGGTTCTTTTTGGTTAGCAGGTAGGCAAGTCTTTTTTCTTTATTTAAATCATCACACTTGTGGGAAAGAAATTTAGCATCGGTTTTGGAAAATATTGTTCCGTTGTTCAGAAAATTAACTTTCTTGAAACAGGTAGCAAACAACAAGAAAATTCACCGTACATGTAAAGCTGCATATTCACATAGATGTCCAAGTATCATTATCTAGATAATGCAACGCCTAGCAGATAACGATATGTTATTGCACATGTTGTTATACGGAGAATAAAGAATGAGATTAAAAAATATGGGAAATAAGAAAATAAGGATAGTAAGAAAACACATGTGATAATGCGTATACACCGCTGCGCGCTCTTTACGATGCGATAATCTAACTCACAGCATACATTTAGAGTAAAATTTAAACTAATAAGAATTCAAGTAAATACGGCACACAAGATAGTACGAACGCGAGGATTCAAAGGATTCGGAATTTAAGAAAATAAGGATTTAAGAATTTAAGAAATAAGAAAATAAGGATTTAAGGAAATAGGGGAAATAAGAATTTAAGAATTTAAGAAAATAAGAATTTAAGAAAATAAGGATTTAAGGAAATAAGAAAATAAGGATAGTAAGAAAACACATGTGTTAACTAACACTTTGAATTTATAACATAAGTTGTTATTAGGAATTATTCTCAGTTTTTTTAACAGCTCCTGCACGCGGGCGGCGATATGGCAGCATGAGAGATTAAAACTCTAGATTCGGCCTGGACTGGAATCCTTAATCATTGATTCCCCTATTTCATTAGATCCTTATTGTCTTATTTCTCCTATTTTCTTTAATCCTTATTTGCCCTATTTTCTTAGATCCTTACCATAGCTTGGAAAATACACAGTCGCCGAGAATCTGATATTTTAAAGAATGAATTCGTATTCGCTGGGAATTCATTTCAGTATGCAACGGATGATCATAATGCGTTTTGATGTAGTTGCGAATTCTCTATTATTTTCTGATTGGCTCAGGCCACCATATAGATTTCTTATAATGTTTAGTTATATGTATTCAAACAGTCAGGTACTGATAGTCCCTAAATTTTTTATTTATGTATTTCAGCTGGATTTTCTATGCCTGCATATTTTCGAAGAGTTTATTCAATCCATATTTTTCTTAACATATACCTCACCGGAGGTGTCGGGGGGGGGGGGGGGGGTTTTAGGGTTTTATTGGTTTAAAATATTTGAAAAAATTTTTAAAAAATTTTT